CATTTTAGTGTAAATCCCGAATCCCATAATAAAAGAATAAAATAAAATGAAAGCGTGTAACCCAAAATCACTCTTCTCATGCTTAAACGCCTGATTTGTTGGCCTACCTCATGAGCAATTAGTTAATGCTCCTCATTCGTTGGCTTACTTTATGAAAAAATAGTTAATGGCTCTTGTTATTTAAAAGTACATGCTTCACTTGAGGGAAGGAGAAACTGAATGGGCGCGTGAGTGGGGGAAGGAATGCATTTTTGCAGAAGTCCAATATATATCGTCTCTTTTTCTCTTAACATTCTCTTCTCTTCTGCCCTATGAAGGAGACAAAGCTAGCTGAAACTGATTCGACTGTTCAGAAGGCTGAAGATATGGTCAGCACAATGCTTGCAAAGGGCTTTGTCTTGGGAAAGGATGCCATCAACAAGGCGAAGGTTTTTGACGAGCAGCACCAATTGACCTCAAATCCATCGGCCACGGTAGCTTCCATTGATCGTAAAATGGGTCTGAGTGAAAAGCTAAGCATCGGGACGGCTGTGGTAAATGACAAGATGAAAGAGATGGATGAACGATTCCAAGGATCTGAAAACGGAAAGTCTGCCTTTGCCGTTTCCGAGCAGAAGGCAAGTAGTGCAGGATCTGTCATAATGAGCAATCGTTATGTATCTGCTGGAGCTTTGTGGTTTGTGCATTTAGTGCAGTTGCAAAGGCAGCAGAAGATGTTGGTGTGATGACCAAGGAGAAGGATAGAAAAAGAAAAAATCACATCATCACAAAATAAAACAGTAAATTTGGCTTTTCTGCAACCATGGAAGCATGGTAACAACGAGCAAGAATGATGTTACACCCATTTACTAATGGTTCAGCATGGCACATTATGTTTCGTGTTAAAATTAGAAGCATCCTATTCAGCAAGATACAAGATGCAGGAATATAGGTGTTAAAGCAATGTACCATGATTAAAGGCAAAGTGTGACAGAAAGATGAGCTATTGTGGCTCCCTGGACCAACAATAAATTCAGGAAGATATTAGAAAGAGCACTGTTCCAGATGGTGTGCCTAGACTGGAAATGTGGTTTTTATATTTTAAGCTTTATTCATTTTTTCGGATTTTTTTTTTCACTAAATTAATTTATTCTCTTTGCAAACTTTGATGTCTCATTTCATTTAGTTTAACATGATGAGAGCTAATAAAGTTCATATGTTAGCATCAAGTGCTCTTAAAAGAACTAAGTACGACAAGTTTTCAAAATAAGACTCCCAACATGCTAGATGAACACACTGTAAGAAGCGATGCTGTATCTGCTCCTTGTGAATCCTTGAAAGTAACAAAAGCAAGCTGAGTGTTCTCAGTCTCCCTGCACAAATTATCACAACACAACTTCAGGATGACATATCCAAATAAGTCAAGTTCCATACAGTTAAGAATGCCCACCTTTGCACTTCTACATACTGAATGTCACCAGAGGAGGAAAAGAATTCTTTGATATCCCTCTCGGAAACAGCTAAAGATATATTGCTGACCTTAACTGTTCTTAGCTGTAGGGAGCATAAGGGCAGATGACGGAGGCCAGTTATTTAAAACTTGAAAAGAACTTCCACCAATGAAATACTGCCTCAAAATTTATCAGATCCATCAAATATTTTAGATTACAGAACATTAACATATGTGAGTGTCATCATGTTTAACAGATACTACGTATAGAGTTCCATGAATCTGGAATGGCAGCATGACAGAGTTTTGTATAAAAAACTTGCCACCAAATAATCAAATGGCATGATAACTGGTTATGAGACAGATTTATAAGAAAATCTTTGTCCTTATGTGACAGATTGATATGAAAATGTTTGTCCCTGAAATTGACAGAGTTCCGAGTCTTCACTAGTGGATTCAAAATCTTTACCACAAGCAATAATAATACTTCACTACTTTAATACTAATGACCTTCTGCCGCTGCTATATAACTGGTTTATTGTTGTTGACCAAAAGCTAAAGGGAAAGTCATTAGAAGTCTAAAAATGCTTATATATAATAGTCAATCATGGTTGAAGCACTGTTATTAATAGCACCAATGAAATTTATTTCTAATATCTTTGTTCCTCACATCGGAAACATTGATTGTCCAATTTGGTGTAATAGTTGAATGTGGAACTGCTTCAAGATTCTGATCAGTGTGGTCCACGAGGACCTGCACATGCAATTCTCAATTAGGTGTCCCTCAGGTTAGCAGTAACATAGGAAAACATAGAACCTCCAGCAGGCAAAAGGTCATTTAATGCTGTATAAAAAGGAAAAAATGTAGTTAGATATCTGGCCAAGATTGCTAGACCTGACATGGTAATCAAATTAAAAAAGTGAGATAAACTTAACATGCAGATAGAAGACCAGAGATGGCGGCAGTGAATATTACGAAGAAATATTTGCTGAAATTGCCCACATCAAGCAGGATTCAGGAAGCATAATACCAACTTTTGAGAACCCATTTTCAGAATAACTAAAAGAGTAAAAGTTCACCATCTTATTTATATCATGACATGCATGATGGAGATTCAAAGATGATACCACCAACCTAGCTAGAGTCCTAGGCAGTCATTTTTTGTGCCACTAACAGTGTTATAAACTGATTTCCTAATTCTGAGGTGCAGTGTGGACAATTTTATTTCCTTTCCTCTCAAATCTCTTAATCACCATTCTTGTCCTTAAAAGAAATGACCCAGCTTAGAAAATAATAATAATAATAATAACAATAACAATGGGGAAAAAAAAAAAAAAATAGAGGAGAGAAGGAAACCTAAAAGGAGGAAACATATGGATGAAAAATAAGTGAATACACATGTAATTGGTAATGTTTGATACAATTAAACAGTAAATTGAAAGCACAAATAATGGAAACATACATACATAAAATACACACGTCTGACGAAAGCAAAAATCTATATTCCTACTATTATGAATATATGAAGTTGGTTTCACTAAAACCGTAGCTAATCTCTACAATGTGTTAGTATAGACTATAGAAGATCATTTCATTCATGGCATTTCAATTGCAGAAAACTAAAGACCTACAGTGGAATGCCAAATAACCAAATAACACCAAAAAGCTTACATGGGTTTACCATAAAAGTAACTAACTGAATCTTTCTATTTCCACTTTCTTTCAGAGATTAACCCAGAAAGCCAAGAATTTGCAATCGATTAAAGAAAATGATAGTGTATTAGGACAATTATGTAATTTCACTATGTACATACATACATATAAATATGTAACCCTAATTCTATTGTGAATGAGAATTATAAACTATTCACGGCTTTATGGTATCAGAGCCGCAATCCAGCACCAAGTCTTCTATTTAGGTTTTCTTCATTCTCCGTCTTGATTCCTTGTTCCTATCTCGTCGTGTTGTCATGGATTCATCTAGTTCACAAACCTCTTCTACATCCTCTACAGTTCCTATTTCGTCTATGGATTCTCCATTAGTTACAGCAAAGCCGACTGAATTCAAGTTTCCTTTTGTTCCACCCTTCAATACCTTGACCTCTCCGAATCCTATACCGATCCACCAGAATTCTGCATCTCATTCCTTTTTTTCTCATCCCGTCTTCACTGTTTCCAATATTAAGACCTTTGTTCCGGAAACTTTGACACATGAAAATTATGTTATCTGGAAGGAATTAATGATTCCTGTATTCAAGAGCAAGGGAGTATATGGTCATATTGATGGTACTGACCCCTGTCCACCACCTTCGAGTCCTCACTTTGAAGCCTGGGTGCAGATCGATTTTCAAATATTGTCTTGGATTTAGGCTACTATCTCAACAGATGTGCTGCAGATGATTATTCAACCCGGTAAGAGTCTCACTGCTAAGGAAGCTTGGGATGCCATTCATACCTCTTATCAAAATCAGTTAGCTGCCAGAAAAATGTATGTTAAACAAGAGTTTATTACTCTTCAAAAGCAATCTGGACAGTCCATGTTAAATTACTTGCAAATTGTTAAGAAAGCAGCAGATAACATGTATGGTGTTGGTGAGATTTTGACAGATCGAGACATAGTTTTTCAAGCTCTTGCAGGACTTGATGCTGAATATAGTGTTGCTAAGAGAACTATTCCACAACGATCTCCTTTTCCTTCTTTTGTGGAATTGCAATCTTTATTGTTGATTGAAGAATCAACTTTGCAAAGAGAAAAGTCGGTCAGTCACTTAGCCTTTGTAAATCCAAGTACACAACAAGTGCTACAGACTTCGACTCACTCTCCTGAAGTGTACTACTCCGGTGCTCAATCACGGCATGAATTTTCTGGATTTGGCAGAGTTTTTAACAGAGGATTACATAGGGGTGGTCGTGGTCCACGTCGAGGCGGTCGAGGAGGCCGTGGATCACGTGGTGGTTCTTATTCCAATTTTGATCGTGGTTCCTTTCACGGTACAGTATATAATCCCAACCATGGTGTTTACAATGGTGGTGTTCATGCTTCCAACAATCATGCATGGAATTCTTCAAATGGGTTCAATTCTTCAAATTGGTTAAATTCATCTCATGGAAATAATTTGCCTCCACTGTTGCCGAATCCAAGCATGCCTTCCCATCAAATTATGGCTTGTCAACTTTGTGACCAGTTAACTCATAAAGCTCGTGATTGTCCCCTGCTGATTGGAACAAAGATTGCCTCCCCAAATCCACATGGCCCTACAGCCTTTACCGCCACAACTTACCCGACAACTCCGGATAGCAAATGGTATATTGATTCTGGTGCCAATACTCATGTGTCTAGTACTCCTGGTAATCTTTTAAACTCATCTCCTTATTCTGGTCTAGAATTAATTCAAGTCGGCAATGGTCAATTATTACCTGTTACTCATTCTGGTAACGCTAGTTTCTCTTCGTCTGGTCATTCCTTTAAGCTTAACAATGTTCTTGTTTCTCCTCACCTTCATAAGAATTTAATTTCCGTTCGTCAGTTTACCAAAGATAACAATTGCAGTATTGAGTTTGACTCTTCTGGTTTTTCTGTTAAGGACATCAAAACGAAGAACGTCCTGCTTCGTTGCAATAGTTCGAGGGGACTATATCCCGTGTCTAGCTCATCGTCCAGTTGTCCAAGTGTTCTTTCTACTGCAGTTGTGTCTCCTGATGTTTGGCATCTTCGTCTTGGGCATCCGGGTTCAGATTCCATCTCTCATTTGTTTCGTCGTGGTCTTATTTTACCAAACAATAAAATGTCTAGTTCCATTTCTTGTCATGCATGTCAACTAGGGAAGCATACTCGTCTTCCATTTAGTGACTCATTTTCTGTTACCTCTGCGCCTTTTGATTTAATTCATTCAGATGTTTGGACTTCTCCAGTTATGTCTTTTACTGGTATTCGATATTATCTTTTGTTCTTGGATGATTATAGTCACTATCTATGGGTTTATCCATTACATTCAAAATCTCAAGTGTTTCAAGTTTTTCTTAGATTTTCAGCTTCTGTCTTTACTCAATTTGGTGCTCGGATTAAAGCTTTTCAATGTGATAATGGTCGTGAATTTGATAATTTAGATTTTGCTAATTATTTTCAATCTAATGGAATTCATCTTCGTTCTTCTTGTCCCTCGACTCCCCAACAAAATGGGAAAGCCGAGCGTATGAATCGAACAATTCTCAATATGGTTCGATCTTTACTTTTTCAAGCAAAATTGCCTAGTGAATTTTGGGTGGAAGCACTTTATGTGGCTGCTCACCTAATTAATATTTTACCTTGCTCTAGGCTACAATTTTCTACACCACATGAGGTGTTATTTGGTGAAGTGCCCTCTTATGATCACTTGCGCACCTTTGGTTGTGCTTGTTATCCAAATTTGTCAGCCACTGCAGCACACAAATTGGCTCCCCGATCCTCTTTATGCATCTTTTTGGGATATCCTAGTCATCACAAAGGCTACAGATGTCTTGACTTACAGACAAACAAGATTATCTTATCCCGGCATGTTACTTTTAATGAAGAATTGTTTCCTTATCCACCTCAACATCCTACCTCCTGCCAAACTCCTACGCCATCTTTACGAGCTCCATTCCATTTGCTGGACATCCCATTATCTTGGCCCAATTCCCAGCCTAACCCACCTCCCCCTACTAATCCCGTCCATCCTCTAAACCCACCCCCACCCTCCAATCTTTTGGGCCGGCCCAACTCTACTTGCCCAACCTCTACTTTGCATCCGCCCACCTCACTCCCACCTACTTTGAACCCATCACCCGATTTACACTCACCTTCCTCACCCGTTCACCCGCCGGCTCTCATCAATTCCCCCTCTGCACCTGTGGCTTCTACCCATGCCGCCTCAGTGCCGCCAGCTTCCAACCCCTCCGAATCTACTTGCCCTTGTCCAGATTCTGTTTCTGAGCAAGAGCATGAGGTCTCTACTGCTCCGCTTCTCTCTGCTGCTCCGCCTCCATCTGGTGCTGTTGCTCGCCGATTACATGGTATGGTGACCCGTTCACAAGTGGGTGTTCGAAAGCCCAAAATTTTACCGTCCATGGTTCATACTCTCCTTGATTTGACAGAACCCAAGACTTTTAAGCAAGCACACCGGCTTCCCGAATGGCAGCATGCTATGAATGAAGAATATGTGGCACTTCTGCGCAACAAAACTTGGGTCTTAGTACCTCCTCCATGCGGTGCTAACATTGTGGGTTCCAAATGGGTATACCGTATTAAACAGAGAGCAGATGGTAGTATTGAACGGTACAAAGCACGGCTTGTTGCTCAAGGATATACACAACAGCCGGGGATAGATTATGATGAGACCTTTAGTCCAGTGGTGAAACCGGTCACCATTCGTACGGTTCTTGCTCTTGCTCTTTCCAAATCTTGGCCAATTCACCAGCTTGATGTTAAAAATGCTTTTCTGAATGGGTATTTATCTGAACCTGCCTATATGTCTCAGCCACCGAGATTTGTTGATCCGCAGTATCCTAATCACGTTTGCTTCCTTCAACGGGCACTTTATGGTTTAAAGCAAGCTCCTCGTGCATGGTTTCAACAGTTTGCAGCCTTTCTCTATTCTTGTGGTTTTATTCAAGCATACTCTGATTGTTCTATGTTTCTATATCACTCGAATGGTATGCTGGCTATTCTACTTTTGTATGTTGATGATATTATCTTAACTGCCTCTACTCAGCCCCTTTTGGATCATATTATTGCTTTGTTAAAGAAGGAATTCCTGATGACAGATTTGGGTGTTCTCAACTATTTTTTGGGCATTACAGCTAGATTTAATTCAGATGGTATCTTTCTCTGCCAAACTAAGTATGTGGCTGATTTGTTAGATCGCACTGGTATGTCTGACTGCAAAGCAGTTTCTACTCCTATGACACCAAAGCAAAAGTTGGTTGCTTCTGACAGTCCTCCTTGCTCTGATTCTACTCAGTATCGGAGTATTGTTAGTGCTTTACAATACTTAACTTTTACTCGTCCGGATATTGCCTTTGCTGTTCAACAAGTATGTCAATATATGCATGCACCAACTGAGAATCACTTTCAAGCTGTGAAACGGATACTTCGTTATTTGCAAGGTACTCTACACTATGGGCTTCAATTATTCAAAGATTTTTCTCCTTCCTTGCACATTTACACAGATGCGGATTGGGCTGGATGTTTGGATAGTCGTCGCTCTACCTCTGGCTATTGTTTGTTTTTTGGTCGGTCTCTTGTTTCCTGGTCTTCTAAAAAGCAACCAACTGTTGCTCGATCTAGTGCAGAGGCAGAATATAGAGCTATGGCTAATGCCGTTGCTGAGGTGGTTTGGGTTCGTCAATTATTGGGAGAGTTACGGATCTTTCTTTCTTCTCCTCCTGTCCTTTTTTGTGATAATATTAGTGCTCTCTATATGGCTCTTAATCCTGTGCAGCATCAACGGACAAAGCACATTGAGATTGATATACATTTTGTTCGTGAGCGAGTTGCCTCTCGTGCCATTCTTTTGCAACATGTTCCTACTTCATTACAGTGCGCTGACATTCTCACCAAAGCTTTATCTACTTCTGTTTTTGGTTCTCAGCGATCCAATTTGTGCGTTCTTCACTATCCCGCACAAATTGCGGGGGGATGATAGTGTATTAGGACAATTATGTAATTTCACTATGTACATACATACATATAAATATGTAACCCTAATTCTATTGTGAATGAGAATTATAAACTATTCACGGCTTTAGAAAAGTCTGTTCTTTAGGGTCCCAAAGACAAATTTAATCTGGAGATTAAAAGTTGTTTAGATTTCCCAGCAACTCATAATCTACTTTCCAAAATGCATATTACTTTAAACAAGAAGAATGGACAAGAACCTTGCATGAAACACATTGGATCTAACTTGTAAACAAGAATTTATATTGACTAGTCAATACCCAGAAGATCAAAATAGAAGGAAACAAAATCGAAGAACGCAACTCACCGAAATTTCAATAATGTAGAAGGAATTCCCAAGAAGAAGATGAATCCCAAGTAAATGAACGGTGTGTTGGAGATGCAGAGGAGGGGAAATGGAAGATTTTGGACATGCGGACGAGAAGATAGAATAGGGGCAAAAATGTCTTTGCAGCATGTGACGTTTGGATTGGCGCCTTCAACGCCGGAAGCTCGTCGGTTTTTTTTTTTAAGTCCCTGAACTACTCGACTGGATATATATAAGTCCAATTCAAAACATCATACCATATTTACTCTGGCATTTTTAGTTAGATATTATTTATATCAATTAATATTTCATTTTAAATTAAAAATTTATTAAAAAATTAATTAGAAAATGCTGAAACCAAAGTCCAACACTCCAAAAGGCAAAAGTGATAAATGGAATGTTAGAAATTTTTAATTTACGTGAACTGTTATTAATTGTAAATTTTGACTTAATTAAAACAGAGTGACAAAATTGATTCAAAATAGTAATAAGATAGAGTGTGTAAGGCCCCTAAATTGTAATTAGTTTATGTGGACCATAAACATCTCATTTAGAGTGAATATGAGACCAGCTAGCTTTGACCCAAAGTTGGCTTTTGCTGAGGAAGACCATTAAGGTTGCACACTATATATAAATGGCTAGGTCTCATATTCATGTATCTATCCATTGAGAGTCATATTTGAAAGTAGTCAGTAGAGGAGAAGTACTAGCAAATTCTTAACATAGTTGATCTTACAAACCCCATTGCTTCTTCAATTGCACTATCAGGCACTATCTCTATTTAATTATATTATTTTTAGTGTTTTCAATTTACATACGGCAATCTGATTGTTTTTACATATGCTATCAGAGCAATTGCATGTGAATTTGGGATCCAAAGTCGATTTTCAATCTGTTGACTATTTGTTAATTGACGTTAAACTAGGGAAATTGAAACCCTTTTTTGATTTTTTTTTTTCTTGAACAAAGAGAATTTTGGGGCTGAGGGGGGAAGATTTGAATATAGAATGCAAGATATATATAACTGTCTTAACACTTATTTAAAGGAGAGTGGTCATTAAGCTACTTAATGTTGAATTTTTTATCTTGTATTTTGTGACCTTATTATTCAATAAATTTGATTTCAAAAATCACATCTTTATTTAATAAATTATAATTTAATATAATTTATTTGGGATCCATTACATTCTAACCAAGAGTTTTGCCTAATAAATACAACAAGGATAACAAATTAATTAAACATTTGTGGTGGATCAAGACTATTATTATGTTGGAACAATTGAAGGTACATCGTATTTCAGTACCTTGCGTGTGAGAGCTATTCGCATACGTCAAGTGCAGCATGCAGAATGTTTGTAGACAACTAGTGTGTATCTCAGTTTGAGGGGTTTCATTGATTATTTTGGATATTTGACTATTGTTGTAACTATAATTTTGATGATTACAAAACATTTAAGTTAAGTTCCTAATTGATTTATTTAAATGTGTAATTTATGGATGAAAGATTGTTAAAATTGCATCTTTATTTATTATTATATCCCTGTTTTACCTTTTTTTTTTTGTCTCTTCCATTATTTATATTAAAAATATTTTTAGCCAAACTATAAGTGGTACAACTTGTATTACTTCTGTAGACCTTTAAATTTATATTAAAATATTTTCATTTTATATTAAAAATTGAAAGCAAATTTAACCAATATTCTGTACGCCTTTAAATTCCAGTCGTTGAGAAGTTTTCCTTCCCAAATTTAATTAAATGGACTAGTGCTGATTGAGATACGCTTGTTTATCAGATGAGGTTATGCAACAAACACTGAGCCAGGTTATGTGGGGCCTGCAGCTTGCGTAAGTATTCTAATTGAAATATCAGTCATGAGTAAGCAATTAGTAACCCATAATTTCTTTTTCCAGGGTTTTAGAAAGATAGATGCAGATCGTTGGGAATTTGCAAATGAAGGATTTATCAGAGGTCAAAAGGATTTATTGAAGAATATCTCCAGAAGGAAACATCCTCAGGGCTCTGACCAGCGTAAAGCATCGCAGCCTCAGGACAACTCTGTTGAACCATGTGAGAACATTAAAAATGTCGGGCTGTGGAAGGAAGTTGAGAATTTGAAGACTGATAAGAATGCTCTCATGCAGGAGTTAGTCAAACTTAGGCAGAACCAGGAGACTGCTGATAATAAGTTGCTTCGCCTGAAGGATAGTCTTCAAGGAATGGAAAAGAATCAGCAACAGATGCTCTCATTCTTAATCATGGCAATGCAAAGCCCAGGCTTTTTGGTTCAGCTGCTTAAGCCTAAGGAAAATAACCGGTATATGACTGAAGCAGGCAATATGCTAGGTAGCACTGCAGAGGATAGTGAACCAGTAGCTTCTGATGGTATGATAGTAAGATACCAGCCACCTGTGGAGGAAGCACCAAAGCCAGTACTCAAACCAGTGATAGACTCGGAGATTCCTCCTGAATTTGATGCATCTTCTGGAGGGATGAAAGATTTTTGGATGAACATTGATTTTGTGAAAGTTCTTGTGGATGATAGTCACATACCTTTTGCTCCACCAGATTTACATGACGATGGTGCTTGGGAAAAGCTTCTTCTAGCTAACCCTTTTCTAGAGAACGGGGAAGATGGAAAGAAAGATAAGGAATGCCCCACAGACTCGGGTATGGAAGTTGAAGTAACAGAGTCCGGAACGCATTTGGACAAACCTCATAATTTTGAACTTCTACTGCAAAATATGGGGAATTCTCATAACTTAGAGATTGAACCGATAGTAAATGGATTACAGTTGGAGACATCCGAGAACTTGGAACTTCTAACAGAGCAACTGGGGCATTTGACTTCTGAAAGTGACCATAGGGATGAAATCCCTAGTAAGTAGTGTAAATTATATGGTAGTCTCTGAAACTTATTTTAACATGTTTTGATTATATATATGTATAAGAAGCTAAGAAAGTGGGATTTCAATTATTTTTAGAGAGGAAAAGGTTGGGATTTCAATTATTTTTAAGAGGCGAGACTTCATATGTATTTTTTTGAAAATATATTATTTTATTTTTTATTAAAAT